GGGACAGGGAAGGGGGGTTCATCACACGTTGTCTCTGCCGCTCCTTCCTCCTCCAGGGGAGAACTCCTCACACTCTTCCCTGCTCCAGGATGGGCTCCTCTCTCCACGGATCCACAGGTTCTCACAGAAGCCACCCCTGTAGCCCCCTGCTACCAAAACCTTGCCACACAGACCCCACACACAGGGCAGGGACACCTCTGCAACAGAGGAGCAAACCCTGGCCAAGGCGAGAAGCCCTCGCAGGCAGCTGAGCTGCGCTTGCAGAGCATTTCGTTGGCGTTGCAGAATGGTTCCTCGCCCCCCACCAGACACAGCATGTGTGCACAAATGAAAGATAAGCTCTTGCTAAGAATTAGGGCGGTCGGAGTCACTTTGCAAGTGGACTTTGCTGGTACTGCTGCAGATGCCTTTCTGTCTTTGTAACATGAGCTTAACAATGCAGCACCTATGCTGCTTTTATAAAGCCTGACTGTTATACTAAGGTACACTTAAGTCACTTAGATCTAAGTCACTTAGATCCCTGCAGGTCCCCAAAGACATTCAAGTATGCACTGCGTGTGCCTGTCTTGGTTTGAGCCCTGAAGCAGCACAGTCTGGGGGAGGGAGAAGCAAGGTCTATTTCTGGTTGTTTTATTGAATAACCCTGACCCGTCCTCCCATTTCTTTATCTCACCCTGCATCCCTCCAGCTCCCTCGCTTTGCCTGGTCAGCGCTAGACCCCACATTGCTTGAGCAGAGGCCATTTCATGGTCTGCCTTTGTCACCTTCTCTGGGGTTTCCATTTTCAGTGGTCATTGTATGGGAACCAGAAACTCTTCTGGCCACAGAGGGAGTGTTGCAAGTTTTCACTTACCCTGGACCAGGCTACAGGTATTTCACCCAATTGAAAAAAAATAGATCTATTTCATTTATGTTCCGAGAAAAAAGAGCCGTCTGTGTTTCTTACCTGAGGAGTGACTGCATTGCCAACCGAGTTTCATCCCGTAGGGTTTGTGTTTGCCTGCTGTGGAGTGACGCGGAAGATGGTGTCAAAAGTTTTTGCGTTGGGTAGTTCCATCCCCATGAGTTTGTTTGCTGGCAGGTCAGACCGGCAGCCACAGTGGTGCAGGTGGTGTTTGCTGGGATTTTTTTCAGGGAGCCCTTGTTAGCATGAGACCCCAGCATGAGCCAGGGATGCTCAGCTGAGGGCTGGGCTGTGAGATCCTCGTTCAAACCACTACAGACTGAGTGGGGTGTCAGGGCTGAGCTTTTCAGAGGGAAGAAAAGTAAAATTCTACAAAAGCCGCATAACCGGCAGGGGCTTTTTTCCACCTGGTAATCTCAAAGCAGTGCAGAGCATTCCCTGAGGGAGTGATGTGCAGAAGGCAGGACTCCTGCATCATCCCCACAAACACCACCACTGCTCCTTGGCTTGCATGGGAGCTCTTAGGGCGAGCAGGGGCTTTAGAAAGGGGAAAACATGCTGGAGAGGGCCATCTTTCACTTCCTTTTCTCTGAGGGAGGAATCCCTTGGATTTGGAGCCCACCATGTTGTTCATGTGAGCATCTCTGGCAGCATCATGTGCCGCGGGTGCAGCATGCTGGCCCCCGAGCCTCGGAGGCGGTGGGGAGCTGCACCCCCCTGCCCATGGTCCCCATTCCACCGCATGGCACCTCACCCTGCTGGCCAGCAGCGCACCCTGGTCCCTCGTTGGCAGAGATTTCTGCTCTTCAGAGCAGCACGGACCAGCTTTCATCTCTGTGAAAGCCCTGAGAAAGAGGAAGAGAATTGGGAAGAGTTACTTGTATGGATTTTGACAGCTTTTCCAGTTTTTCACACACACCATCGTTTTCAAGAGGCTCTGCGGGGCCACGTTCTGGAGCCCTCCTCTCCACCCAGGGGAATTAAAAACCTGTTTGGCAAATGAAGACATCATCTCCAAAGATCTTGCACTTAATTTAGAGGGACTCTGGGGAGTCTGTCATCTCCTGCCATGCACCCATAGCCTGGAAACCGCCAGCCTGCAGAGAGAGGCAGAAAACCCCCAGGGCCTGGGAGCAGATGTGTGAGCCAGCAGAGCTGGCTTCTGGCCGCAGGTCTGACTGTGAACTTTCCTATTTCTGCCCTTTTAACCCCATCATTTGACCCCCTCCTTCAAAGCAGACCAAATCCCATTCCCTAATTAAATGGTGTATTAAATCACTTTGGTAGCACTTAAACATTCTCTTTCAAACAGGCTTTTATTTTTGTGTAAGCTTACAGCAGGCAAAAGCTGGGATGTGGCTGGAGGGCTGTTGTTAGGTAACATTTTAGTAAATAACAGATGAAGTTTTAGCAAAGGAAATGTAAATTTTACCCACAAACTCTTCCAATGTTATCTAGCAGCGGTAATTTTCTTTCCGATATTCCCATGGTGAGGCAAGGGAAAAAAAAACATTGCTAAGGCAATTATTATAAATGATTGTGCCTTGGAAGTCATTAGAAATGTAGCATTATTTATTTATAGATATATCCATTACATTCATCATTGTAGCTGCATCTTCTAATGAATCGTTTAGAGTTATAAAATTAATATATAGTGTTAGGAGTGTTTCTTTCTTCTGATCTCTAATCCTACAAGGTGGAAATCAGTGAATAGTAAGGGAATTTAATGCATGCTGCAGGGAAGGAAGCGGAGAGCTTCAGAGGATAGATGTGTATTCCAGTTAAGCCAAAAACTACAGAAATGAAGATGTATGCGCAAATGAGATGATGCCTGGGGTTACTCAGCTGATAAGTAGATGGTCTCACTGAGTGAAAAGTGGCAAGCAATGTTTATACACAGAGGTACATCTTAATCATGAAGATCCATCTTTCCTTTTCCACGTGCACAGGTGGGAGAGAAGATGTTCTTCTTCATCCAGTGCCTTCTTGCACCCTGATTTCTTCCTGGCCCTGGGATCCAGGAGGCCATATGTGGGTCCTGGACCCTATGGAGCAGCAATCGCTGCCTCTGAGCCCCTCACCTTCTCGGAGGCTCCCGGGGTGACTGGCCAGAGGTCTGCATCCTGGTGTCAGTGCCCAGCTGCACCCTTCAGATGGGGCTTTGTGCTTCCCAAGCGAAACCAGGGCCAGGAGGTGCAGCCAGGAGGAGGAAGACCTGACACAGGACCCAGAGAGCCTGGCTGCCTCTCTCACCTGCACAGGTCCTGCCTGACAAGCTGTGCCGTCCTGTTGCAGGGGTGGCAAGCTCTCCTGCACCCTACCCACCACAGAGGTGCTCCCAACATGGCTTTAAAAAATAAGAAGCCCTAATTATAGCAATAGTGCTCAAAGAGTCCTCTCCAGGGATGTAGGCAGACATTGGCTCCTTCCGGGATGCTGGGAATGAAATGTTTCCAATCTCAGCGCTCTTGGGAGTATGTGAGAGTCCAAACCATCACACTTTTGCCCACCAGGTACAGACCTTTAGGACTGACTGGCTACGTGGTAGAGACTAAATCCTGCTTTGCCCACAAGCAGCAGCCCCTACTCATTTCTGGAGCATAGAGTATAAAGCACTGGCATTGACCAGTTGTTTCAGCCGGTAGATGTGTCCTGAAGGATCAAATTGTGCCTATTGCTAGGACAAAGGATAGTCTCAGTCTCAGATGGCAAGGAATTTGTTGATATAAGGTATGTTTCTATGGAGGAAAAAAATGAACCTTTGTGAGGGGCGAGTCCATGTTATCCCTGGTTCATTTGGGCTTTCTGGTGGTGAGGGGGAAAGCAGACCCTGAGGTCTCAGTGCAGGTACCAGAGCTTTGCCTGGGGCTATGAAGAAGGGCTATGAAACCAAAATTAACCTGAATATGCTGGAGTTCCTCCTTGAATGGCACCCTGTGCCATTCACCTTGGAAAACTATTTATAAAGCCAAAATATAAATATAAATCTTGAAGATGTATCTACATTATTTGAAGGGTTATTGCTTCTGCTTTGTGGCCTGGTTTCTGAGTCTCTGCAAACACTCCCATCAGCTTTGGCAGACCATGAATTAGGTCACTGCTTCATTGGCATCTTCCAAAATAGCTCTGAAATAGATAGTAACAAAGATACTTAAGGCAACATAAACCACACTGGTGTTTATGGTGTTTGATATAAAATTATTAGTTTTAATTTGGATAACAGGGCCTTTTGAATTTATTAAAATAGTTAAGGAGGCTAAAACCTCTATACTATTGTACACCACTGTGTAGTTAGGGTTGATGCCGTGTGCAAGAACTTATTGGCGTTGTCTTTACTATTCCCACCATTGCTTCCAGGGCTTACATGAGGCAACAGGCGTACACATGCCACAGTGAGACAACAGCTTTCCAAGTCTTTGCTAACTTGATCAATTAACTAGTTAGATAAAATAACTCTCAGTTATCCAAAACCAGGTTCAAGTTGGAAAGTTTCCAGCAGTCCAATGAAATGAAATAAACTTCACTCATTGTGATAGACGACGAGTTGTTGCAGGACTGATACTTGTCAGTAGGTGAAATGAAGCCAGTATTTCTGTCTTAGTGCTTTAACTTTTTTTCCTGAAGCTGAGCAGAAGTTAAAAGACATCTACCCAAAGCTGGTTAGTGGTCAGAGTGCTGGTGAGACACCCCAGGTGCATGGTGACTGCAGGGACTGTGTGACATGGGTCTGTAGCCAAGCACAGAGGGGCACAAACCACCTCCACGAAAAAAAGAGTTAATGGCTTGACCATTATCACCCAAACAAAGAGAAAGCATGTCCACACTCCTCAGCCTCAGTATTGTGCCTGTTACCTGTGATGCTTTATCAGAATTCAAAAAGCCATGGCTTTCATTTACCTTCCCAGCTCCAGCTGTGCACAGGTTTGTTCAGTAGGCACCAGAGCTTGCTGCACCTGCCCATCGTTAGAGGTTGCTTGTAGCCACTGGTCAGTGCTTCTGCGTTTCTGGTCAGGTTCACCACGTTACCACGTGAAACCAGATGTCCTTTTGTCACTACCTAGAAGAATAAATGCTTTTATTTCTTTGTATTTTTCAGATAATCAACCCCAATTTCATTCAAGAAGGTGAGTTAAGGACAGCTGTGCACTGACTGGCATGGAGGGGCAAGTCAGCAGCTGTGGTTTATTCTGGTACAACAGCATGCTCCGCACCCACCAGCATTTACAGCAAAGGCGACTCTCTGGCTGCTGCTCCCCAGGGAAAGCAGTCCTTCTGCTCAGCTCAGAGAGCTTGGGGACCACAGGCGAGGCTGAACCACCCCCACACCCGCCTTCACAAAGTCTCACCCTCTGCCAGAGCACAGGCCTGGGAGGGGAGTGGACAGTCCCTGCTCTCTCCTTTGCTGAACTGTCTACAGCGGGATTGTAGTGAAGAGGGAGTTTTGGTAACATAATCCCAGAACCCTCAGCTGTTTGGCACCTAGATCTCATAGTTGGTGTATAATGTGTTCTCTAGACTTGTGTCCTCACCTGGAGATTAAAAGGTGCCATGTGTGTGTCCCCATGGTTTTTTTCCAGTGGCTCCAGAGTTTCTTGTGCCATTAGTGGACATCACCTGCCTGCTCGGCGACACAGTCATGCTGCAGTGCAAAGTCTGCGGACGGCCCAAACCAACAATAACCTGGAAAGGACCAGATCAAAACATTCTTGACAATGACAACAGCACAGCCACTTACACGGTGTCATCCTGGTAAGTTCCTGCCTTGGGATCCCAGCACAGTTGTTAATTTTGGTCATGTTGCCCTCAAATATGGCACCAGCCAGGCTACAAGGCTCATTACAAATGCAGTTAATCAAGCCTGGCATGGTGTACTGACACATTGCTGCACTACATGTCAGCTAGAAAGGGTCACGCTTTGGGGCTCAGGCAGCTCTACTGTTTCCCACAGAAACTATATCCAAAGAGTGCGTTGCTGGCAGACGTGAGCTTGCTCTGGTTGTGCTCTGTCCCCGGAGGCCATGACCTCGTGAGCCAGCTGCAAGCCAGAACCAATTAATGTTTCCAGCATATCAATTTGGCTGCTATTGCCTCTACATAGCTGGGGCTTCTTTGCTTGTTTGATGCCATGTTCACCTTTGGTCGGAACAGGAGGTTGAGCAGAGAAAGCTCTCACCAGCTTGCAATATTCTTCCATTTACATACACATATGGTATGTGTATTTGCACACCCATTGGGTGTTTTCTCACTTCATGGGCAGAGGTGGTAACTCCAGTTTTCCTGAGCCCTTCCTCAGCTGTTCCTAAGATAGCCTACATGTCCTTCTGGGAAGGCTACATCTGGCTGTGCTCGCACAGAAAGATGCTTGTCGTGATGTCCTGTCCCAGCAAGGGGGAGGGAAACCATCTTTACAACAAACACTGGGAATATCCAAAAAGATCTGGAGTTGAATTCAGGTCAGGTAACAGCCTGCTGCTGGATGCTCTGCAGCTTATATAAGCAATTTGGGCCAAACTGCAGTGGAAAACTCCGGGAGGCAATCTTTCATGTGAACTTCTCAGCACTTCTGGCTCAGGCTGAGATGAATCCAGCGAGTACAAAGTCACTGAAAGTGAACACTAGGAGAGAAGGGATTTTACGTGTTCAATAAAAAAATTATGTCTGATCAAGAGCTTCCTTCAGAGACCATTGGCTTGTGCAGCCACCCCAGAGCACCCAAAATTGTCTTTTTAGCTATTACTCAGTAGATCATTAGTGCCTTATCTTCAGGCTTCTAGCTAGGGTTGGGATGGGGGGATATCTCCGCATGGGGTTCTGCTTTCCATCACAGTCTTTTGCCTGTGCACTGGCTCTCTGTGCGCTATCAGCACTTGTATTGTCTTGTTACTCGTATTTGTTTTCCAGTGAAGACGTGGCCTGCCAAGGAGAGGCCCAGCAGATCAGCGGCTGGCTTACAAATCTTGCTGGCATGAGTGTCTGGATTGCGGGGGAAGGGAATATTTCTGTCCTGTTTTAAACCAGCATAGTCAGACCAGCAAAAGCCGCAGTGTCCAGGCAGTTATACTGGCAGCTATGTCCTTCTGCAGTTTCTGATAGATTGTACGTTCAGGAACTAGCCTAGTTCTGCCATCAAGAGAATTTATTGTTGGCTCTAAGCTGGGTCTCCAGTACGGCTAAAGCAGTTACACAAGCAAAACCCTTTAATTCAGGCCAACTCCCTTACACTGCGTATTGAAGACTGCAATGTGCAAAGCTAAATGACTATGTACTGACCTGCTATAAATTCACTAGACTCTGTAGAGCTGTTTATTTGCTCAGATTGGCCCAAAGATTGAGTGTCTCTCACGAACTCAGCTCTGACATTCTTTATCCCTAGCTGTTGTGAGACGTCCAGCCTTCCAACCGGAGGCCTGGCAGCCTCATCAGATCAACAGCACATGCTCCAGGGGTCTGATACTTCCCAGAAATGTCAGGAACCCCTATTGCCTTCTGCATCTGTGGGAAGCCCAATTTGTCTGCCTTAACTGCAGAGGCACAGCAGCTCAGCACCTCCTGAGACAGGAAGATGTGCCTGTGGAAGTCTTTCCAGATACATGGGGTCTAAGCACCCAGCTCTGGACAGGCACAGCAGATTTTCAGCTCTTGGATTTTGCTTGCTGCTTGAGCGATCCTTCCCCATCTCCTCTGAGGCCACAGCAGACAAGGAGATTTGCCTGGCAGGCAATTTGGACCATTCTGCTTGAAAGTTTCATTTCATTAATGGCCTAATCCTGACATATGGAGGGGTTGTACTTGGTACCGGATTGCTGGGAGGATGTTCCTGCAAATGAGTTAACAGGATTTGTGTGCACATGTGTTTGTAATGAGGCAGGGCAGGAACTGGTGTAAAAAACATTAGTAAGTGAAGCAGCATTTTATAATCTGGGCTTCCTACATCCACAGTGACTCCGGGGAGCTCACCTTGAAGATCTGCAACCTGATGCCTCAGGACAGCGGCATTTACACCTGTGTGGCAACCAACGAACATGGAACGGCATCAACCTCTGCGACCATCAAAGTTCAAGGTAGCACATCTGATCTTAACATGGAGCATTTTTCCCTCAGTGGGGGCTGGGAGCACACAGGAATAGCCAGTTGATAGGCAGCCAGACATGGAGCTGTGCCAGGTGAATTGAGACATTAAAATCATACAACCATTCCTCAGCCAAGACTCCCACTGATAGCTGAAGGCATCGCAGACTCTTTGGGCTTGATTAAGTCATCTGATCATAAGCATCACATCTGGAAAATGAAAATGCTTTGGCACAGGTTCAGCTCCTGCATCCTGCTTGCAGCGCTGCTTCCCAGGGGCTCGGTAAGGTCGAACAGGGGAAGCTGAGGTCCCTCGGGCTGCTGAGCCCCTGGGAGGATGACATCCCAGCTGCCCACAGGGAGCTCTGGGCTTCAGAGTCTGCCTGGAGTGGGGGCACCTGGGATCCAGTGACACTGATTTTCAGCTTCCCCTTCTCTGTGGGGGACAGAGGAGGTGAGAGTAAGGTTTGGCCTGGGTGAACTGTTCTGCAGGGACTCAAACTGGAGACATGTCTCTGAGCATGAATTCTCAGCGCTGTAATTAGTGACCCATCTAAATGTAATGAATATGAAATGATTAGTTGATGTTCATGACCTTCAGCTCTGGGAAGGGATATGTTAGCATGAGAGATGAGGGGTGCGTCCTGCATTGAAGGGGATGGCACAGAGACGAATGTCTAACTGGTGACTTACAGATGCAGGAGTGTCACAAGCATTTAGAAGTCCATTTGTTTGGTCTCATAAACTGCCCTAGAGATATAATTTCCCCAATTTATCCAAGCAAGTTAGGGGCTGCACTAACTACTTCTGTGCTGAAGGGAGCCCTGAGCAAAACACAGAAGAATTACTGGTGATTTGTCAACCTGCTGCTAAACATACAAAGCACCATACATGCAGAAGCACTCAATGCCTCGCTTGTGTTATTTTCTGACACATCAAGGGTAACTGCCTCTCCACCATCAGAACCTCACTCACTGCATGGTGAAGGCCATGGGAATATTTGTTTTCTTCAGTTCCACAGGCTTTGTATCAGGTCTTGAGCTGGAGCAAAAAATAGCAGCAAAAGGTAGCAGGTAAAGAGGCTCTGCCTTTACAGCAGCAGAGCTCAAACAGATCCTCCACCACTACAAGGTGCAGCTGCCATGAAGTGACCTAACCAGTGTACCTGATACCTGATCTTCAGAATAAATGAGTGCTTGTTGACATGATGCTGGATTTGGTGCTTCTTTTCTCTTCCCAAGGTGTCCCAGCTGCCCCAAATCGCCCCATCGCTCAGGAGAGAAGCTGCACCTCTGTGATCCTGCGCTGGCTACCCCCGTCCAGTACGGGCAACTGCACCATTTCAGGCTACACTGTGGAGTACAGAGAAGAAGGTAAGTGGTTTGAGCTGTGCTCACTGGCTGAGAGAATGAGAACAAAGTAATTATCCTTTTGGAACAAGAGGTCCCAAAAGCATCCTTGCCACCACTGGGCTGCCGCTAGCTGTTCTCATAGATCCCAAGGTCTAAGGCTAAAAGAAGCCCTTCCATCATCCGTCCAACTTCTCATATATTACAGACCTTTCTCTTTCCTCTAGTCACTTCTGGCAAGTAAAGGGTGCTAAGCTAAAACACATCCATCTCTAAGGCATCCTTTCATCATTTGCATTCTGCCACCATGGTATCCATCTTTTCTGGTGGATGTTTCCCAGGAATACAAAAACAAAGCAGCCTTGTTATTTTTTTTGATCTGAATAGAGTGGCAGATCCTTGCATACTTTTCAATCTCAGCTCTGAAATCTCTTTGTTCTTAAATCCAACCATCCTTTTCCCCTGAAAAATTAAACAGGTATTAAATGTATTGTTTTCCCAATGTGCATAGGCATTGCTCTTGAAAAGGGAATTAGAAATTGTTCACATCCCTTTTTGCATTCTTCCTGCAAAGGTGTGGTGCTCCCTGGGCAGTAAACCTCACCTTAGGTATGTGGCCTCTGGTTTTCCCCTTCATCCTTCAAAAAATCCTGCCTCATGTTAGTAAGTGTGCAGCCTTAATCACACCACCATATTAGGTCTCTCCCAACTGAAATAGTCTATTCTACTAATACCTTAACCCTGACCTTCTGAGACCTGGCAATAAGAATCTGCCCACAGTGCACACAAAATAAATGGGTCATGGTAAATAATGCAAAGCTAAAAAGCCCTGAACTTACTAGTTTTAAGATAAAATTTGATATATTCTTGAAAGAAATCATGGGCTGTGACAGGGCTCAGTGTCCCAGTGGTCCTTTTCTGTTCTGTGCCCCTGTGCACATGAATAAGTATTGCTCCTTTGCATGTCGCAGGTTAGCTAATGGTTGGGTTTGTTTCTGTTAGGTGCAGAAACATGACAACAGCCCACATTTCTTTGTTGCAATCCTGCTTATCTGCAAAAAGCCCATACTAAGCCTCAGAAAGCTGGTTCTTCTCTTGCAGCTCTGGGTTCCACTGTAGCCACCATGTCTTCTGAAAAAGACTTAATCTGCAAAAGCACTTTATACTGACGCCCTGTCTCAGCTTCACCTGGGACTTCCTTGTCCATATTTTTTTTGCAGTGTTTCTGCTACTGCTTCTCTCTTAGCAGAGCTGTCATCAAATCAGCCTTCCATTCCTGCCTTATCACACTGTCCTGAGACATCACTTGTAGTACAGAGCTGCGGCTAGACTGCTGGAGAGATCAGCTTGTCCCTGGGCTGTGATTTATCCGTCGCTATCAGTCAAGTGAGGGGCATTTCCTTCTTCCCTCATTCAGACAGACTGGAAAGTGGCTGCAACACAAAATAGCTTTCTATGGTCCAGTTCTGGTTTAACAGAAATACATCAGTCTGCCATAACATTGCCTTTTAAAAAGCCCATGGATTTTAACCTCCCAGGGTACTGCATGAGTTGGGCAGAGAAAGCCTCTGCTCTGAGTTCACATATCAAGACTGTTTCCTTCAGCCCTCCTTCTCTCCCCCTGTAAAATGCAGGCTCACAGGTCTGGCAGCAGTCAGTAGCCTCAACTTTGGACACATATCTCGTCATCGAGGACCTGGCCCCAGGCTGCCAGTATCAGTTTCGAGTGAGTGCCAGCAATCCCTGGGGAATCAGCTTGCCTAGTGAGCCATCTGAATTTGTGAGGCTCCCAGAGTACGGTGAGTGGGCACGGTGAGGAGGGGCTGATACATGCATGAGTCCCCATGTGTGGTCTGTATAGTGAGGAAGACTTTTGCTTTGATGGGTCCCAGTAAAAGCATGGATCCTGAAGCTGGTAGGAATACAAGAGAGAGCCTGGGAGATGCTCAGAGCCAAGTCCTGCCACTAGAAAGGCTTTTAATGTCCGCTCCTCCAGCAGGGCTCCCAGCCTCCCTCTGTCACAGAAGCTGTTGCAGTTTCCTAGCAGGTCCCAGCTTTCTATCCCAAGACCATTTCTTGTCTTTATCTCTGGGCAACAGGCTCTGTGTCCTGCCTGGTGTGCCCCCCACCACCTTTCCAGCAGTGCCAGTAGCACCAGGGACTTCTGATGGGCAGCCCAGCTGGGGTTTGCAAGTCAGCTTGCAAAACCCACCCCCCAAGCGATGCAGCCGGCAGAGGAAGGCTGTGATGGAGGCAAGCCCCCAGTGTGGAACTGCAGGAATTGGGGGCAGAGCTGACCCGTGACAGTGCTGTGAGCAGAGCCCGCATTTCACCATGGTTTAGCAGCTCCAGTGCATAACTAGGTCTGTGACTGGCTTGAATAGCCTGTGCTGGATGAAACGAGAGCTCACGGGGTGTAGCTTTGCCTCCCCGTTACACACAGACATGCCCCTTGACTGTTTGTGTGGTCCTTTTCAGCCCAAAATTGCAAGGACGGATTTGAATCCCCCATATCCGTACCTTCCTCTGGGGAGCTCTGGCTTTTAGTGGTCCGACACATTGGAGCTGTGCCTGAGCAGTATGAAACTGGACTCCTAGTGTTAATGTTTGCTGTTTTAAGTAATACAGCCTCACATAATTTTAAAATATGCCGTTTATGGTTCGCAGGGAACTGTCTTTCACTTTATGCCTTCTTGAATGTGCTTTGTTCTCCCACAGACTCTGCTGCTGATGGTACCACTATTTCATGGAAGGAAAACTTTGACCTCGCATATGCAGAGCTGCATGAGATTGGGAGGTAATATTAACCCTGCTTATCACTGCAGTCAAACACCAAAACTATGGCTTGAAGCCTTTTCCTTCAAAGAAAGTTTAAGTTGCTTTTTAACTTGAAAACTTCTGCACCTTTCAAAGAGCATTCCAGATTAAGTACTGACTAAAATACAGACTGGTTTAAATGCTGGCTACATTTTGTTTTTCAAGATCTGTTGTGATTTGAGGCTTGCAACCTGGTAAATTAGGCAGCCAAATCTCTAACAGCCACTGGTAGCTCTCACTGGTATCTCCTCTGTCATCTCTGATTTGATGTGAGCTTTTGAAGTCATGACAATTTGTTGGTTCTGGATAAGCTTAACCTCAAAGACTGAGTTTGCCGAAGCGCTTAGGCATGTGACTGACTTAAATCACATGCCGAAGTGCTTTGCTAATTGGGACAGTCAGTTGAACAGGACCCTAAACAGGGGCTGCATATGTTGTTGTCAACCCTGGGTGCTCTGGGCAGACAGCAGATAAGGGGCATGCACACAATACAGGTTAATGCAGTTAGTTCTTCAGCTCAGAGATCAGATGGGAGTAATTCTGGGGCTGAAAGGCCAGGAGTCTCTCTGGCTCTGCAGAAAGAAGAGTGATGTATTAATAAGAGGCCAAGTTCAGCACATGGTTTCATTGCATAGTTTTACTTTCAGGAATGGTATTAGGCGCTAGTCTGTATGGATTTCCTAAATGCTTTCACACCATCTTTTTTCATAATTTCTTACTGTGTGCCTGAAGCAGCAAGCTGAAATGCCAGGTTAGTGATTATTTAATAAGGCCTTTATTGTAGTTGTCTGAGAAAGTTTGGGCTCTTTGTTAAAGCAACTGGAAAAAGGAGACCCATGCTTAAAAAAAAAAAAAAAAAAAAAAAAAGATAGAACCTGTAGAAGAGGCAGCAAATTGAACCCAGGGGAGATTGTTAGAGGGCATCAGTATGGCTGCACAAAGCAAAGTGACACCGTTTGCTCTCAGTGTTTGCTAATCCCCAAAGAATCTCTACATCCAGGGTAAGAGATGGAGGTTCTTTGCTGGAAAAGGTTATGAACAACTAGTTTAATCTGATTCCTTGTGAAATATTAATGCACCGAATCTAGTAACACTTTGAAAATCAGTCTGTTATCGCACTGAAAATCAGTATTGATTTATTCATGAGGCCCCTTCGTTATTTTGTTTTGTTTTGTTTTGTTTTGTTTTGTTTTGTTTTGTTTTTATTTCAGGGGTCGATTCTCCATAGTAAAGAAATGTGTTCACAAAGCTACCCGGAAAGACGTTGCTGTGAAATTCATTAGTAAAAAAATGAAAAAGAAAGAGCAGGCAGCACACGAAGCAGCTTTGTTGCAGCACTTACAGCATCCTCAGTACATCACTATCCACGACACCTACGAGTCTCCTACTTCTTACATATTAGTCTTGGAACTGTAAGTATGTGGAGCTTGAGTTTAAGCGTCTGGGTAGGAATCACAGCCCAAGGACAAAATTCACTCTGACGTCTGCAGGGTGAACATTTTGTTGTCTGTTTTTATTGATTGTGACGTCAAATGAAATAGCCATTTTCTGCTGAACGTCCACTGCCTTTTCTTTACAGTAAATAAGATTCAGAGGGACAAATAAAACTGCTCTCTACTCTGGTGAAGCTCGAGTAACTGTATCAGCAGTTAGTTGGTCCCATTGAACAGTATCAGATTTAGTTGGGCAGCTTTGTCTACTTTTTATATCGGCGTAAACGTGCTTCAGCTGGATCAAAGCCTACATTGTTCTAATACTTCATGGTGAAAAAAGCTGTGTAGCAACTATGCGTGCATCTATAAGGAGCAACAGCAACCAAAATCCAAAATGCTTCTTTGTTACAGTATATTCAACAAAGTATATTTGGGCTATTTCCTTGTTTATTTATACAGATAAATAAAACTAGGTGGAAAACTTTTATTGGGTTAGTTTTCCCACAGAACATATTACCAGATGAAAATGTCAGTGATTTTTTTCCTGCATTATGCAACCAGCTCTATAAATAAGTAGATTAATCCAAATAATTAAGAGGATCTGTTTTCAAAGGAATTGCCTCTCTTTATTGAATCCATCCTTAAGCAAATGAGTTTACTTAGAGACTGTTGATAAATTTTTCGAGGACCGGAGATAACAATTGAGGATTAATTATTCTACCACTTCCATGGCCTGCAGTGTCTTGAGATATCATTAAATACTCATCGGATATTGCATTTTAGTTTCCTCCATGTTTAGGTCACGAAGTTTCCATTGCAATTTTGTTTTCACATATTAACTGTTCCTAGAGATACCATGTGATCTTTCACGTGTGGGGTTTGATTTGTTTGTAGGATGGATGATGGTCGCCTCTTAGATTATCTAATGAACCATGATGAACTTATGGAGGAAAAAGTCGCTTTCTATATCAGAGACACCATGGAAGCCTTGCAGTACCTTCACAACTGCAGAGTGGCTCACTTAGACATAAAGGTAAGAAGAAAAGAGAACGATGCTATTATTCACTGCCCTGGTACAGAGGGTTCCCAGTTGCACAGACAGGGAGGAGGTGCAGCCTGGACCCCAAAGAGATGATCACTAAATGGACAAGCACCGTCATTCAGACCTATTGACCCGAGAAAGGACTTACTGACCTGCAGCACAAGGTCTTTCTCTTGCTTCAGGCAAGAGATGCACCTATTTCCTTGATTCACTGGTTTGTTCTCATGGGCTTTCGGGAAGAGGGATTTAATGAAGGAGAAGGAGGATGTCTGAGACAAGAGTGAGATGATGCTAGCACCTGAGGGAAGGGGAGTTAGGTAAATCCACAGGGAATGGTTTGGGCTCACACCTGTACCAATGTAGCTGTCAAGCCTCCTGAGCAGAGTTGGCTTGTGCCCAGGCAGCTCCAGGCAGGCTGTGAGGAGCGTGTGTCTCCCTCACATCTGCAGCAGGGCCCTGGAGAGCCCAAAGCAAGGGGAGAGGAGGATGCAGGGGAGCGGGAGGTGGGGAGGGCTGGCAGGGACAAAGGAAAGTGGCATGCTGCATTGTGCTGCAGAGCCTGAGAGGGGAACCGGGTGGGAAATACACCCAGGGAGAGGTTCAGAGGAAGAACAAGCTGCATTATGGAGAAGAAATTCAGACATTCTCTAATGTCACGCTGAGTTAGATGAGCGCTGCTTGTACCTCCTTTTGTTAGTGCACATGGCAGGAGGCACTGTACTGTCCTGGATTCGGCACTGTCCTGCTGTCCTCACCATCATCCCAGTTATCTTGGATGACAGAGAATTAGCAATTCAAGTTATGATCAGGTGTTTTGAGTTTTGTGATCTGCAACATTCATTCAAGTTGCAAGGGGCACCAGATAGGCTGTATTTTTTTCAGACTTAAATGCCTATTAAAAATGGAGAATGAGAGATGAATTTAGCTTTCTTGTATAGTGGGCAGTCCAGCTCCAAGGAGGTCTCGTCTCAACTCTCCAACCCCCAGCCATGTGAGATGAAGTGATGCTTTCATACTTCTGCTGCCTACTACCACTACAGAAAAAAAATATTTTTGTACAGTACCTTATATGAGCATTAGTCCCAAAAGGGTAAATTATCCTGGCTTCTTCTGGTAAAATTGTTTGTATTTTCTGCTGTATTTATAGGACGTGTCAAAAAGTAGGTATCACCTGGAGGTAAGAAACTGCACTGAATTCTCTATTTGATCATAAGATACTTCCCCGAAACAAGGTGGGAAGCCAATTTTCTGTGACCTATTTACAGTTCTCCTGAACGAGGGATGCTAAATAAAGCAGCTTCTGTTGCTAAGTGGAAAGCAGGAGATGCATGAGTAGTGACAGCAGACCTAGGCATGTCCCAGGATCCTGCTCAAGAACGTGTTGATTTTGTCAATGCAGCCTGCACAAGAGAAGAGCAAGCAGAGAGATTTGAACAGTAGTATAGTGAACTTTGCTTTATGAGGCAGCTGTAATATATGCATGAGGATAAGGGGCTGTAGGACAGAAAAGTGTCTGTAGAGAGAGTGCAAAAAGTGAATTCAGAAATAATCTCAGAGCCAACAAAGGAAGGAAAATCCATGCTAAGTCTCCAGAGCAGAGTGTATAGGCAATGCTCAGCATCTCCCACTGAGACAGAGATCTTAAATACTGCAAGAGTTGGTAAAACAGAGGGAAAACAAACTGGGTTGAAATATAATTGCACTCTGGCTTGGAAGGCATGATTGTGTCTTGGTGCTTATAAGGGAGCACTGGCAGCTCCGTCCATGTCAACTAACAGTAATGGCACGCAAAGTTGAACATCTACTTTATGAAAAACATACCTGCTACAAGTTACGCACATTTATGCAGGCAGTTGTCATGTAAACAAATGGAATCTAAATAAACTGATCAGAGATAAACAAGCTTTATCAAAATTTTAAAATGTGTCAGTGCTCTTAATCTGTAGAGATTAGTTTGGGAAAAGAAACTGTAAGTACCTGGGGCAACGTGCAAAATCCCACTGGGTTGCCCTAGTGCAAAATGAGGATGTTGTCATTGCAACTTCAGCATTGATCCAAATTTACTGCAGTGTAAACAGCAGCTGAGCTGGTTCCTGGTCATTCACTCTCCTGATCTGTACATCCCACATCTGATTAAATGCAAGTTTTGATTGACTATTAAACCTAAATGAAATCTACACATTTTATTTGCAAAAATATAATATAATTGAGGTTTTGGTATTGTCTTTTCAACAGCCAGAAAATCTGCTCATTGATTTAAGAATCCCAGTGCCTCGTGTCAAGATCATCGATTTGGAAGATGCAGTTCAGATCACAGGTCACTACCACATCCATCACCTCCTCGGAAACCCAGAGTTTGCAGCTCCTGAAGTTATCCAAGGCCTTCCTGTCTCCCTGAGCACAGATATCTGGAGCATTGGGGTCCTCACCTATGTCATGTTAAGTGGTGTCTCTCCATTCCTGGATGAAAGCAAAGAGGAGACTTGTATCAACGTGTGCAGAGTAGATTTCAGCTTCCCACCCGAGTACTTCTCCGATGTGAGTCATGCCGCCAGGGATTTCATCAATGTTATCCTCCAGGAAGACTTCAGGAGAAGGCCGACGGCAGCCACTTGTTTACAGCATCCATGGCTGCAACCGCACAATGGCAGCTATTCCAAGATCCCACTGGATACCTCCCGTCTGGCTTCCTTCATCGAGCGCCGCAGGCACCAGTACGATGTGCACCCCGTCCCCAGCGTCAAGAGTTTCCTGATGAGCAGGCTGAACCCAGGCACGTAATGCCTCCGTTCTTGGGGTCCTGCACTGCTGGAAGGCACAAAGCAGATCTGTCTGTACATAGTCCCCGATTCAGCGTTTGTTTTTCGCATGGCTTTCCAAACTGTGGGGTACAAATCATTGCGGAGGTGGCAGTACCTGCCCAGTTCCTTGGGACCAAAGCAAAGGCGGGTAACGGCGGCAGGTACCCACCCCCTCCCCTTGGTGGGCTCCTCCTGGGACACGTGCTATTGTCACATCCACCGCGAAACAGGACTGCGGGAAGCAAACACTAACTGGAAACTAGAGCCAAAATTGTAGTTGCCTTAATCTTTGTAAGGCAGCTTTATAAGAAATCCTCTTGATCTTGCGGAACTGGTTTCAAAATGTAGAAAGAATAGGAGTAGGATAGTGGTGGGGGGTGAGACTAGGATGACCTTAGCGTGTACTGCAGAGCTGGACTGAAGTCAGTTTTTGCTGAAATGATTGCAAGCCTGCTCCAGGTTAACAGATGGATTTTGCACGCCCTGTATGCCCAGATCTGACAGGATTCCAGTGGGGATTTTGCCTGCGTAGGACATGGAAGATCAGGCCCTAGTCACTGCTGGATCAACTTCAGGTTTGGCACAGCTTAGATACGCTCTCGTTGCGTGGTACTGCTCAGACCAAAATCCCTCGTTAATCCTTGGGCTTTCTGCTGTGTCAAGTCAAGAAGCAGTACCTTTCAGAGCTATGACTAAGGCAATGAATTCATTGGAGCATACAGCTGGTTTTGACTAAGCACAATGGGACTATGATGGGTTTTTTTAAAGCATTTTATACACACTGTACAGAAATCTTTTGCAAAACCTGTGCATTGAGAAAAGGCTGTGTCCAATTTTTGCAGTATCTGTAAACTAGATGATGATGACGAAGACAATTTTTTCTATCACAGGTTTTCAGTATACATATATTGTATCATATATATAAATATATATATATA